GGGATCTCCCCAGGAAGACTTGCCATTAGGATTGCCAGATAAAATATAAGAAGCCCAGTTAAGTTTGAATATTTAGACCAAAAAAATAGAAGTTTAGTATAAGTATACCCCATATACTAGTTAGGATATACTTCTACTAAAAATATCATTTATCTGAAATTCAAATTTAAATGGGCATCTTGTATTTTTATTTACTAAATCTGGAAACCCTACTTGTCAGTTAGTACTTATTATGTATTATGAAGATAAAGTTTATCTAAAAAAGGGATTGCTATAATAAATAAATAAATAAATAAATAAATAAAGAAAGAAAGAAAGAAAGAAAGAAAGAAAGAAAGAAAGAAAGAAAGAAAGAAAGAAAGTGAGAGCTCTGGGGAACTATGAGGAAGAAGAGGTGGCTCACCAGCTTGCTTACCGGTTGTGGTTGTTCCCTACTGACTGTGTGACTATCACAAGATGGACTTTCTCAAGATCACTCCAGGTTTCAGTCTCCCTTAGGCTGGTTTCGCTGCCAAAATATTGCTTCAGAAAGCCTCTGCGAATGGACTCTCACCCAGTCCTGTCCTTTCCCCCATCTCCACAAAAGCCTCCTCTGTTGTCTTTGCACAGTGTAGATCCTTCCAGAACAACTAATGCACGTTGTACCCTTTTTATTAGTATGAAAGACTCTAGCTTTTTCTGTAGACATGTTGCCATTTCCATCTTGCCATGCTTCTGGAGCATCTGACTACATGCCCCAGAGTCTGACTCGTATTTGAGGCTAGCTTTGTAAGACCAATAAACTTCCCCCTTTTCCTGATAGATTTTGCTTTACAATTATTCTTTTAGGCTTGACAGTAGAGTCCTTTACCTTTCTCCTAGTGGGGAAGTCCAAGAGCGGTGTGCGTTCCTGTCTGTTTTACCACTGGTTCTGACACCTTGTCCAGTACCTGAAACAGAGTGGGTACTTATTACTGTTTGAGTGAATGAATGAATAAATGACAGTCCTTCCCCGCCACTTCCTGTAGCCAACAAATTCCATTTCTGAAGACTGAATCTGAGAAGGTGGTCATTTCTCAGACTCTCACAACTATAATATGCCCCAGCTATGGATTCTCACAGCTATTACATGCCCTAGCTCTCCCTCCTTTCCTATGAAACCCAAGACCCAGCACACTTGAACAGAAAGAAACCTCAAGGACCTAATCCAACACCCTTTTACCAAAGGGGAAACTGAGAGAGTTCAAAGATTGGCACTGATTTGAATTGTGGGTTCATGTTTTACATAATGCCCACTATACCATCAAACTCAATGAGAACAACCTCATCTCATTGGTCTGGTGGCAAGTCTGATGCCTGGCACAGGCCTAATACTCAGTAAATATGAATGAACAGCTCAATCAAATCAGTCAATCAGTGAATCATTGACCAAATCAGCGAATAAATGCGTAAGGCAACCATGCCACTTACCAGCAAGGAAGTTGTTATACGACGTGGAAGGGGACAGTTCTATGTGGCAGGGCAGATTTGAAAGTTAATGAGATCATATGTTTAAGTTGTCTGGCCCTGGGCCTAGTACATCATTATTATTCAACAAATAGTAGCTCTCATCATGGGACACTAAAGGGCTTGGCCTGTGAATGTTTGAAAAGGGGAATTGGGGAGCCCGAGAATGAGAAGCAGTGTTGCATTGCACTCTAAAATCTAGACTCTTCAGCCTGGCCTCAGAGGCCCTGCTAGACCTGACACCTGTCCACCTCTCTAATGTCCTTGCCCTCCATTCTCCGTCTCCCTTTCTAGGCTTTAGCTATGCCGATCTTTCTGTTCCTCAAATCAGCCAAACTCATTCCCCCAACCTTCCAACCCCCATCCCATTTTGCATACTCTGCGCCCCCTGCTTGGAACGATCTATAATCCTTCAGCTCTTAGCTCAGTACCCTCTCTTCAGAGAACCTTTCCTGACTGTGGGGGGCTGACCAGAGTAGCTTTGGCTTGGCATCCCTTCCATCACTTTCTACAGCATCACCTCATTTATTTCCTTCAAAGCAGTCATTATGAGCTGGAGGGAGAATGCTTGGTGTTAGCTTGCTCTTTGTCTGTCTCACCTCTTTGAACATAAGCTTCACTGGAGCAGGAAGCTCACTCCTCCTGTTCACTGCTATAGCCCAGAGTCTAGAACAATGCCTAGCATATAGACAACACTCTGCTAATGCTAACTAAATGAATGAATGAATGAATGAGTGTCTTAGCGCTTTCCTTAGCTGGGCCTCTGATTCCTGTCTTAACAAACAGGTTTGGGTCCATGGTGCAGTGGGTAAGACACTGCTCAAGAGAAGCTGGATCCCATCTGTCAAGAGCAATTCAAATCCCCAACCAGGCTGCCTGAAACACACCAGGCCCAACTCAAGTGCCCAAGATCCCATAGCCTGGAGGACTGGAAAAAGGATATCAGGGCATGACCAGACCCTATGAAGGGTGCTCACCCCTCCCTGTCCTCTTTTCGTATATATTCTATTATGAATAAAGAAATGAAATGAAATATTTGAGGTAAATAGCTTTTAAAACCCCTTCTTCTGATAATCTGAGGTTGTATAATGTGATTGTTTAGAACATTTTATGTGCTGAAAATACAGGGATGACAATGGTTCTATAAATGCCAGTCAATTTGGTAGCTATAGTGCTCCAGGGCTGAGAACTCAGCGGGGAAGTGGGTTTTTGATGGATTTACATCTGTCTCAGATGCAGGCGAGGCCCAAGTCTTTGCTCACCTGATAGAGGTGAATGTTACAAACCTGAACTGACTTCAGTTAGGCAGGCTGTGCTCAGGAACTCACCAATACTCTTTGAGGATGACACAGAAAATTCTTCTTGGCTAATGCCTGTTCAGAGATTTTGCTTAATCCTCAAATCCTAATTCCAGGAGAGCCCTACAGGCTTCCCTTAATTCCTTTACCCTTCACCTGGTTTGAAACAGCTTCACAACCGTGTTGTTGCCTGTTTATTTAATCCCACTTCAACCTGGAAGAAGTCCATAGGTGCAGAGCACCGCACTCTGAATTTCTGAATTGTGGAAAAGATTCTGCAGACTGGGTTCTAGAAAAGTTCTGTCAATCTGCTCTGTGAAATACACTTTCACTCTCAAAACAGTGTGGGCAGCATGTTTGGGCTGGCTCATGTCCCAAGCAATGCTGACCGTCGGGAAACCACATCGTACAAGGAAACAGAAAGGTGGATTTTTTGAATTTGAATGTACAAATCGGGCTCTGTCTTCTCATTCTGACCACACACCCTGTACTGTAGCCAGTACTGCCCTCCCAGTCTGCTTCGGGGGTGGGGCACGTGGGTGTGTGATCCTCTGTGCTTTCATAGCTTTTGGCTAAGCTCTTATGTCCTGTAGCACTATTATTGATTTATCTATGAGCTGGCCTAAATCTTAGCCCCCTGTATTTCTAGTGCTTAGTACAGGCCTGACACATAGTGGGGCTACCATTAAGATCTGTGGAATGGGGGTGGGGGTGGGCAGATGGTGGTGTAGCAATAAAATGCAGTGCTCTGTAGGTTGACACACGCAGGAAAGTTCTGGATTTATGTCCCAAGACCTCCCTGAGTATGCTAGGCACATGTGTGCCCTTGAGCCAAGGCTGGCTGAAGCTGGGATGGATTTCAGTGTCAAAATCCTATTTGGGGTGCACTTGCTATTTCTCTCTCCCTCTCTCTCTGTCTCTCTTACTCAGAGATAAGAAAGAAAGAAAGAAACTTAAAACAAAAGATTTGTGGATATCCATTGGGCTGGTTGTGTGCTGCCAGAACTGGATTATTAGAAAGTTGAAAATAACAAATCCTTTTGTTCATGACTTGGATCCAAGTCCAACTTCATCCAGGCTTCCCTAGAAGGCAACCAAGCTGAGGAAGTTTCTGAAGTCTCACACACTACTCAAGTCACACAAACGTTCCTGAGTTACAGTTTCCCGTTCTGTAATATGGGCTGCTACTAGTGGTACCTATCTCAGGTGATTGGGACGATTGGAGTCAAATGATGCAGGTAGAGGCTGAACATAATAGATGCTAGCAATTGTCATTACTGCACTCACTAAAGTCTTCTCCCTAACTCCCTCTTAGTGCTCACTGAAGTTTCGCTTTTGGGCTTGTTAGCACCTCAAGAATGCCTTCTCTGGGACCAGCAGTTAGTATAATGGCTATGTCGTTGGCCTCCCATGTATTCAATCGTGGTTCGAGTCCTAGACCCGGTGGTTTAAACTCATGCCAGGTGCATGTGTGTGCGTACCCAAGATCCCGAGAGGAGAGTGGAGAAGAAGGGATTGCAGCATGGCCATCACCCCTGGAGAGTGACTTCTCGCATTCTGTATGTCTGTCTGTCTCTGTCTCTCTCTTTCTGGCAAGCGCACATGTCCTATAGCAAAAACCTCTCCAACAACAACAACAAAAAGAATGACTTCTCTAGGGAACCAGCAGTTAGCGTAATGGCTATGCCGCTGGACTCCCATGTAGTTGACCGCAGTTCACGTCCCGGACCCGGTGGCTTAAAACTCACGCCGGGCGCATGTGCGTGCGTGCCCAAGATCCCGAGAGGAGAATGGAGGAGAAGGGATTGCGGCGTGACCATCCCCCCTGGGGGGTGATTTCTCGCTTTCTGTCTCTATGTCTCTCTCTGTCTGTCTGGCGAGCGCACGCGCCCTACAGTGAAAATCTCCCCCCCCCCGAAAAAAAAAAGAATGACTTCTCTAAACCTCCTCCCCAGGCAAAATAACCCCCCACTCCCATCCCTGGGTCCCCACAGTGTTCTGTACACATCTCCCCAGCCCGTTAGGTAGCAGGTTGCATCTTGGGCCTTCTTCCACTGGATTTGGGAGGCTTCCCTGGCTGAAATCTCTGACTGCCCTGCCCCTGCTGAAGTGGAGTAGATGGAGATGTCTTTATTCCCTTGCCAAGTCCATTCCCTTGGGTCGTTCTATTATCCTTGCTCCTCATTCGGCTCCCCACGCTTGTCTGCCTTCCTTCAGGATGAGCATTTCTGTGACTTTGTGGACAACCTCACAGAGTATGAGACCAAGAGCATCTTGGCGTCCCCCATAATGAATGGGAAGGATGTGGTGGCTGTAATCATGGCTGTGAATAAAGTGGATGGACCCCACTTCACCAAGAGAGATGAAGAGGTAAGGATAAACTCACTGTGCAAGTCCCCTAAATCTTACTGGGTGGCTTTGGTTCCCCATCTGCAAGATGGAGTCAGGGAGCCAGGAGTGGGTGGTGGTAGGTGGGTGTCTGATGTTCTCCAAGGGAGGCAGGGAAGGATAATGCTTATAATTTGGAGCTTTGGGGTCAGGAATGGAGGGACAGGTGTTCCGACTCTGTCAATAACTAGCCGTTTGGCTTGGGCAAGTTGCTTAATTAATTTCTCTGAATCCCAGTTTTTTTATTTATAAAATGGGGATGACTTTACAGCATCCACCTCATAGGGCTTGTGCTGATCTAGATCACGTACATTAAACCACTTGGCACAGACTGAGTGGCTATGAACAGTCGCTACTTTTCATTAGTACACTTCTATCGACATCGACATTCTATTAGGTTGTTGGGAAAGTCAGGACGTATTTTTCTGTCTTTCTATGCACTTTCCCAATGACCCAATATGAGTCTTTATGCTCTTACAATTTAACATTTTATGAGCTTGCATTCTATGATTTATCTGCCCAGATTGCCCTGGTGAAACTTACAAAATAGACATTTGCCAGTGGTATTCATGGTTGGAGGAGGGATTTCTCCTTCTCATCGGCTTCTCTTCGTGCCGTTCCATTTTTAGATTCTTCTCAAGTACCTTAATTTTGCAAACCTAGTCATGAAGGTGTTCCACCTGAGTTACCTGCACAACTGTGAGACTCGGCGTGGTCAGGTAAGGGGTTTGGCTCAAGGGAATGAACTGGAAATGCCCTTATACTGAAGCATTGATATGGCCAGGGCTGGCGGGCCAGATGGTACTGGAAGTGCTTGAGAACCATTTGACAGTCTCTAGCCAGTATCGCTAGTGTTACGAGGTGATGGACATCCACACAGCTGACTCCCAGAGTAGGTATAGGCACACATTTTCGAGTCAGACAGTTTGATTTTTAATGGCTGCTCAGTTATTTTCTAGTCTTAAGATTCTGAGCAAATAATTTAATCCTTCTAAGCTTTGGTTTCCTCATTTGGAAAAATGGGGATAACCATAGATCCATGCTCAAAGGATTGCCGTCAACAGTACATGAAACAGGGGCCAGCAGGTGGTGTAGTGGTTAAGGCGCAGGATGCTCTCACATGGCTGAACACAGTTCGAGTCCTGGACTTGGTGTCTTGCTTTCTTACTTTCCTTCTCTGTGTGTGTCTTTCTCTGGCCAAATTAAAATAAATAAATGAATAAATAGATAGTACACTAAGCAATGTATGTAGGACACTTATACTCAATCCATGTCTGTTATTATAATTTTTTACTAGTAATCTATGAGACATAAGAAATGGAAAGAGTTGGACCTAACATAAGCCAGACAATTATTTCACTTCTCTGAGGTTCAGCTCCTCCGTCTATAAGATGGGGATAACTATCTTGTCCTATTTCTCTGGGTTACTGTGAGGGTTAAATAAAAATCTCTAGCAAACTTGACAGCAATGCTATTATTCTTTAGGTAAATGAGCCACTGCGGCTTTGTTTCCCCAAACCCTTGAACATGTTTTTGTATTTCTCTAGATCCTGCTGTGGTCTGGGAGCAAAGTCTTTGAAGAGCTTACAGACATCGAGAGACAGTTCCACAAAGTCCTGTACACAGTCCGTGCCTTCCTCAACTGTGACAGATACTCTGTGGGTCTCTTAGACATGACTAAGCAGAAGGTGGGTAAGCTTCAGGAACAGACATTTCCAAAAAGAGGTTAATACTCTTATTATTATTTTGCTATAGGGCACATATGCTCACTGGAGAGACAGAGAGAAAGCAAGCAAGAAATCACTCCCTGGGGAGATGGCCATACCACAATCCCTCCTCCTCCATTCTCCTCCTGAGAATTTGGGCACACATGCACATGCACCTGGTGTGAGTTTTAAGCCAGAATTTGAACTGCAGTTGACTACATGAGAGTCCACCTACAAAACCTTACTCCATCTGCTGGTCCCTAAGAAGAAGTTAAAGAAACACCTAGGGGAGCCCAGGGTCTCGTCACAGATTCAGTTGCACAGGGAAGGTGTTGAGCGAATTTTACTGTTGTGAAACGTCTTACATAGTTCTTTCCTGCAGAGAGGAATCCTAGTATTTAGAGGGGGAGAGTTAGTCTAGGGCACAGGAGAGTATAAACAACCTATATTTTCCATAGTCTGTTGGAAAAGTAAGTGTACCTGATGGTAAAGGTGAAGTGATAAAGTCTCCAGATAGTTGAAAAATCTAGGAGAAAGTTGCTGAATTTAGGAATTCTCAGACAGAAAACGAACAGAAGTTGCGTGTAAGCCTTTGCTCTAGTTCGTCCAACTCAGGGCTTGCCCAGGCAATTGAGGCGGAGGCAGGTGCTTTGATCTGGTCGCTCAAGTGCTCAAAGGCCAGGTTTACAGCCACTATGGCAGGGGGGGGGGGAGAGGGGAAAAGTGATGGACATCCACACAGCTGACTCCCAGAGTAGGTATAGGCACACATTTTCGAGTCAGACAGTTTGATTTTTAATGGCTGCTCAGTTATTTTCTAGTCTTAAGATTCTGAGCAAATAATTTAATCCTTCTAAGCTTTGGTTTCCTCATTTGGAAAAATGGGGATAACCATAGATCCATGCTCAAAGGATTGCCGTCAACAGTACATGAAACAGGGGCCAGCAGGTGGTGTAGTGGTTAAGGCGCAGGATGCTCTCACATGGCTGAACACAGTTCGAGTCCTGGACTTGGTGTCTTGCTTTCTTACTTTCCTTCTCTGTGTGTGTCTTTCTCTGGCCAAATTAAAATAAATAAATGAATAAATAGATAGTACACTAAGCAATGTATGTAGGACACTTATACTCAATCCATGTCTGTTATTATAATTTTTTACTAGTAATCTATGAGACATAAGAAATGGAAAGAGTTGGACCTAACATAAGCCAGACAATTATTTCACTTCTCTGAGGTTCAGCTCCTCCGTCTATAAGATGGGGATAACTATCTTGTCCTATTTCTCTGGGTTACTGTGAGGGTTAAATAAAAATCTCTAGCAAACTTGACAGCAATGCTATTATTCTTTAGGTAAATGAGCCACTGCGGCTTTGTTTCCCCAAACCCTTGAACATGTTTTTGTATTTCTCTAGATCCTGCTGTGGTCTGGGAGCAAAGTCTTTGAAGAGCTTACAGACATCGAGAGACAGTTCCACAAAGTCCTGTACACAGTCCGTGCCTTCCTCAACTGTGACAGATACTCTGTGGGTCTCTTAGACATGACTAAGCAGAAGGTGGGTAAGCTTCAGGAACAGACATTTCCAAAAAGAGGTTAATACTCTTATTATTATTTTGCTATAGGGCACATATGCTCACTGGAGAGACAGAGAGAAAGCAAGCAAGAAATCACTCCCTGGGGAGATGGCCATACCACAATCCCTCCTCCTCCATTCTCCTCCTGAGAATTTGGGCACACATGCACATGCACCTGGTGTGAGTTTTAAGCCAGAATTTGAACTGCAGTTGACTACATGAGAGTCCACCTACAAAACCTTACTCCATCTGCTGGTCCCTAAGAAGAAGTTAAAGAAACACCTAGGGGAGCCCAGGGTCTCGTCACAGATTCAGTTGCACAGGGAAGGTGTTGAGCGAATTTTACTGTTGTGAAACGTCTTACATAGTTCTTTCCTGCAGAGAGGAATCCTAGTATTTAGAGGGGGAGAGTTAGTCTAGGGCACAGGAGAGTATAAACAACCTATATTTTCCATAGTCTGTTGGAAAAGTAAGTGTACCTGATGGTAAAGGTGAAGTGATAAAGTCTCCAGATAGTTGAAAAATCTAGGAGAAAGTTGCTGAATTTAGGAATTCTCAGACAGAAAACGAACAGAAGTTGCGTGTAAGCCTTTGCTCTAGTTCGTCCAACTCAGGGCTTGCCCAGGCAATTGAGGCGGAGGCAGGTGCTTTGATCTGGTCGCTCAAGTGCTCAAAGGCCAGGTTTACAGCCACTATGGCAGCGGGGGGAGGAGGCGGGCAACAGGATTGCCCTGGTGAAACTTACAAAATAGACATTTGCCAGTGGTATTCATGGTTGGAGGAGGGATTTCTCCTTCTCATCGGCTTCTCTTCGTGCCGTTCCATTTTTAGATTCTTCTCAAGTACCTTAATTTTGCAAACCTAGTCATGAAGGTGTTCCACCTGAGTTACCTGCACAACTGTGAGACTCGGCGTGGTCAGGTAAGGGGTTTGGCTCAAGGGAATGAACTGGAAATGCCCTTATACTGAAGCATTGATATGGCCAGGGCTGGTGGGCCAGATGGTACTGGAAGTGCTTGAGAACCATTTGACAGTCTCTAGCCAGTATCGCTAGTGTTACGAGGTGATGGACATCCACACAGCTGACTCCCAGAGTAGGTATAGGCACACATTTTCGAGTCAGACAGTTTGATTTTTAATGGCTGCTCAGTTATTTTCTAGTCTTAAGATTCTGAGCAAATAATTTAATCCTTCTAAGCTTTGGTTTCCTCATTTGGAAAAATGGGGATAACCATAGATCCATGCTCAAAGGATTGCCGTCAACAGTACATGAAACAGGGGCCAGCAGGTGGTGTAGTGGTTAAGGCGCAGGATGCTCTCACATGGCTGAACACAGTTCGAGTCCTGGACTTGGTGTCTTGCTTTCTTACTTTCCTTCTCTGTGTGTGTCTTTCTCTGGCCAAATTAAAATAAATAAATGAATAAATAGATAGTACACTAAACAATGTATGTAGGACACTTATACTCAATCCATGTCTGTTATTATAATTTTTTACTAGTAATCTATGAGACATAAGAAATGGAAAGAGTTGGACCTAACATAAGCCAGACAATTATTTCACTTCTCTGAGGTTCAGCTCCTCCGTCTATAAGATGGGGATAACTATCTTGTCCTATTTCTCTGGGTTACTGTGAGGGTTAAATAAAAATCTCTAGCAAACTTGACAGCAATGCTATTATTCTTTAGGTAAATGAGCCACTGCGGCTTTGTTTCCCCAAACCCTTGAACATGTTTTTGTATTTCTCTAGATCCTGCTGTGGTCTGGGAGCAAAGTCTTTGAAGAGCTTACAGACATCGAGAGACAGTTCCACAAAGTCCTGTACACAGTCCGTGCCTTCCTCAACTGTGACAGATACTCTGTGGGTCTCTTAGACATGACTAAGCAGAAGGTGGGTAAGCTTCAGGAACAGACATTTCCAAAAAGAGGTTAATACTCTTATTATTATTTTGCTATAGGGCACATATGCTCACTGGAGAGACAGAGAGAAAGCAAGCAAGAAATCACTCCCTGGGGAGATGGCCATACCACAATCCCTCCTCCTCCATTCTCCTCCTGAGAATTTGGGCACACATGCACATGCACCTGGTGTGAGTTTTAAGCCAGAATTTGAACTGCAGTTGACTACATGAGAGTCCACCTACAAAACCTTACTCCATCTGCTGGTCCCTAAGAAGAAGTTAAAGAAACACCTAGGGGAGCCCAGGGTCTCGTCACAGATTCAGTTGCACAGGGAAGGTGTTGAGCGAATTTTACTGTTGTGAAACGTCTTACATAGTTCTTTCCTGCAGAGAGGAATCCTAGTATTTAGAGGGGGAGAGTTAGTCTAGGGCACAGGAGAGTATAAACAACCTATATTTTCCATAGTCTGTTGGAAAAGTAAGTGTACCTGATGGTAAAGGTGAAGTGATAAAGTCTCCAGATAGTTGAAAAATCTAGGAGAAAGTTGCTGAATTTAGGAATTCTCAGACAGAAAACGAACAGAAGTTGCGTGTAAGCCTTTGCTCTAGTTCGTCCAACTCAGGGCTTGCCCAGGCAATTGAGGCGGAGGCAGGTGCTTTGATCTGGTCGCTCAAGTGCTCAAAGGCCAGGTTTACAGCCACTATGGCAGCTGAGGAGGCAGAGGTCAACATGGCCTCCAACTATGTTCTTCAGCTATGTTCTCCCACACCAGCTTTCCCGTCCCTCTTTCGTCTCTCTCTCTCTACCTCCTGGGGCTGCCTTGAAACAGAATTTCATAGTTATCTAGATTTATCATTTTCTATCCCCAAAACTCAAGCTACAGGATGTTTGTCAGTTTCATTGTGTAGGCCTTGTCATACTGAGCATGGTGCATAGACTAGTGTAGACTTTCCAAAGAATGGGTTGAATAAATAAATGAATTTCAGAATCTGGGGCTGGAAGAGACCTGAGATTTTGTCCAAAGGCTCCCAAATTTAGCAATAAAGATGTTAAGAAAAAAAGAAAGGCCCAGTCTAGGTGGTGCAGTCACTGAACTGGACTAAGTGCTGGAAGCCATATGGCTACTGCAGGTTCAGTTCCCTGGCCTGGTAAACCCCTAACATGCTAGGCATGTGCACATGCCCAGGGTCCTAAGAAACTGGAGGGCTGGAGGAAGACAGAAAAGCCCAGCTGCTATGGTGTACATTGCCAAGACTCTGCTCTGAAGGCTGGGACGACATGCGAGGCCCAGCTTTGATTCTCAATCTAACCTAAAGTCTGGGAGCAGTGGTTTGAGCCTATAACCCCAGTGACTCAGAAGGGTGAGACAAGAGAATGGGGAGCCCGAGGCTGGCCTGGGCAATTTATGAGACCTTGTCTGAAACAGAAGTGCACGTGGTGGCACGTGTCCATGTTCGGTGGGGAGGCCAAGGCAGGAGGATTGTGACAGCAAGACCCTGTCTGTAAAAGAGATTAAAAACTTGAATAAAACAAAATAGGAGGAGGAGGAGAGAACGAAGAGGGGAGAGGTCATAGATATGCCTCACCCTCTAGAGTCACTTCAGAACCACTCAGCATGTGGCCACACGAGGTGCTAGTCCAGCATATTCATTCTTCTAGGCTCTTCCAGCATTAATACTCTCCTTTCTTTACTGTTTTGGATGTGCCTTAATTGACTGAATAGTCCCCTCTTGTTGGACACTTGGCTTGTTTCTAGTATTTCACTGCTGTACATGATCCAGCAAGGGATGTTGTTTTAGCTAACCCCTTGGTCATACACTTAGCATGTCCTTAAGGAAAATTTCTTAGACCCCACTTTTCCTCTTATGTTGTAGCAGCATTGAAGGTACCCCAGGCCACCTGCCGTGGTTTTGTTTAACGGTTAGTCAGGACCCTTCATCAACATTCTTTTTTTCTTTTTTTTGGAGAGGTTTTTGCTATAGGGCGCGTGTGCTTGCCAGACAGACAGAGAGAGACAGAGAGATAGAAAGTGAGGAAATCACCCCCCAGGGGGGATGGCCACGCCGCAATCCCCTCTCCTCCATTCTCCTCTCGGGATCTTGGGCACATGCGCACACGCGCCCAGTGTGTTTTAAGCCACCGGGTCCGGGATGCGAACCACGGTCGACTACGTGGGTGTCCAGCGACATAGCCATTACGCTAACTGCTGGTCCCAAGGGCCCTTCATCAACATTTTGAAGGGCAGATGTGATTATCCCCTAACTCTAGCCTCTTCAAGCTTAGGTTTCAGTGAGCTCTTCTGACCTTCCAAATCTCAGGGAGAGATGACTCACGTAGGTGGGACCTCTTTTCTTAATCTCTTTTTCTTGATCCATTCTCAAACCATGTAATTACTGTCTTTTTCAATCCTAGGAATTTTTTGATGTGTGGCCAGTTCTGATGGGTGAGGCTCCACCCTATACTGGTCCCAGGACTCCAGATGGAAGGGTAGGTTTCTTTCTGGTCTTTTCCATATGAAAAAATGTTTAATAAAATCCAAATGCAAGACAAAGTAGACCTTGCTAAAGAACCTTCCTTCCTTCCTTCCTTCCTTCCTTCCTTTCTGTTTTCTTCTCTCTCTCTTATTGCTAGAGGGTGTATGTGCTCCCCCTATGGGGCACAGACATACCACAATCCCTTCTCCTCTATTTTTCCATCCTGTCTGGATTTGGGGCACATAGGCACTGCTTGTTTTTCAAGCTGCAAGGGTCAGGATTTGTACTGCAGTGGGCTGTGTGGTACCTGGCTCCTTCAACCATTAATCACTGTGCCAGCCCTGAAGAAGATTTCTTTATCACATACGTATTTATCTTCTCTGAGTTAGGTTGTCTGCCTTGAAATTATAATAATTCCTCACATTGTCATTTGCAGTGTTTTTCCTTTAAAAAATTATTTTATTTAATTTTATTTATTATTATTTTTTGAGAGAGATTTTTGCCATAGGACATGTGCACTCACCAGAGAGACAGAGAGAGACAGAGAGACAGAGAGAAATCACCCCCCAGGAGAGATGGCCACACCACAATCCCTTCTCCTCCATTCTCTTCTCAGGATATTGTGCACACATGTCCAGGGTGAATTTTAAGCTCCAGGTCCGGGACTCCAACTATAGTCAACTATGTGGGAGTCCAGTGATGTAACCATTTTGCCATATATTGGTCCTTATTATTATTATTTTTATTTGACCAAAGAAAGACACAGAGAGAGAGAGGGAAAGTGAGAAAGCAAACTGCCAGGTCTGGGACTCAAACAATGGTCAGCCATATGGGAATCCAGCATCTTAACCAGCATGTGACTTGGTGGTCCTTGCAAATATTTTTAATATCTTGCTGGAGTTTCATTGTAACCTGCTAGTGTAGACCAAGCAGAATCACTATCTTCATTCCACAGACAAGAAAGGAGCCCAAGAGAGATCAAGCAATCTGCAAGGATTCATTTAGCATGAATTTAGAATTGTAGATAATTAAAGCTTGAAAAAGACTTTCACATCAAATCTAGAATATAAAAATTGGTAGTCAGAAGGCCAATTATGGCCACAATTCCACCCAGTCAACCTTAACCCTGCCCAGAATAAAGGGCCTACTGTGTGTGTGTATGTGTGTGTGTGTGTGTGTGTGTGTGTGTGTGTGTGTGAATTCTAAGACCTTAATTAGCCTTAATTTAAACTCTGGGAAATCAAAATTAACACCCTTGCCTGTGAGCCTGTGAGCTTTACATATACACCGGCCACAATACACTTGTTTGGCTGCATAAGTTCAATTTTTTTTCTTTTTTGTTTGAACTCTTTTGAATTGGTAACATTTATGATTTTTTGAATTGGTAATACTTAATAACTGAAGTAATCCATAAATATTTGGAATCTCAGTTTCTATTTTTTTAAATTTTATTTATTTGTCCATTTTTGTTTTTTGTTTTTTTTGTTTTAATTTGACCAGAGAGAGAGAAAATGAGAAAACAAGCCACCAGGTCAGGGACTCGAACTGTGGTTGACCATGTGGGAGTGTCCAGTACATTAATCACCACGCCACCTGCTGGTCCCCAGGAATCTCAGTTTCTTTTGAAAAAGTGAAAGCTCAGGCTAGTAAATGGTATGGTGATTAAGGTGCTAGCTCCTACATGGCCAAGTCCTCAGTTCAAATCCTGACCCAGTGATTTGAAAAAACAAGCCCAGCATGTGTGTTTGGGTGCCAAAAACCCCAAGAGAAGAATGGAGGAGAATGGATTGCAGTGTGGCTATCTTCCTGGGGAGTAATTTCTCACTTTCCCTCTCTATGTCTCTCTTTGTCTCTCTTGGGCGAGTATACACACTCTATGCCCCAAAAAAAATCTAAAAAAAAAAAAAAAAAGTGAAAGTTCAGTCAAAGTTAGACCCACAATCCTGCAAAATAAATAATGCCTGGGGCTGACTAACAGCTGCCTCTTGGAACAGGGCCTGAGTTCTGTAGTTTGTCATGGTCCCCACCACTTCCTCTTATGCCTATCTGGTCCCCTGTTCTCATTCCTATTTCTTTGTATTAGCCCCTCTAGGCATTTGGGTTTCAGTCTCTGATCTCATCCTATTGCCTTGCTATAAAGATGAGGCCTAATGACTTCTGAGAGTCTGAAATGTTAGGATTGGGGGTGTAGATATGATTCAGGGTAAACAGCTTCGGCACTCAATGACCTATGAACCCGTGGGATGACTGAATGGCCTCACAGGATCAGTACGAAGCGGGGTCTTGCCCAGCCCTGGGTTTTGGTCAGTGTCCTTTCCATACGAAATTTTAGTCTGTGTAAATATGTGAAACAGCCTGTCAGTTTCTGCTGGAAGACCTGATTCCACTCAGTCAGCCTTAGCCTTGCCCAGAATAAAGGGCCTACTGGGTGTGTGTGTGAGAGAGAGAGAGAGTGAGAGAGAGAGAGAGTGAGAGACCTTGACCTTGCCCAGAATAAAGGGCCTACTGGGTGTGTGTGTGAGAGAGAGAGAGAGTGAGAGAGAGAGAGAGATCACTAAGACTTTATTTAGCCTTAGTAATTCAAACTCTGGGGATTCAAAGTTAACACCCCTGCCTGTGAGCCTGTGAGTTTCACATACACACCAGAAAAGATTTCAACACTGGAATCTATATTCTGTTGAACTTTATCCAAAATAACCTCTCTAACCTGTTGTCATCCAGTTGAAAATTTCTCCTTTGTCACACAATTTCAAGATTTTACTTCAGATCTGAGTTTCAGGGATGGCATCATATGTTGCTATGAGAAACGGTATTTGGGGACACCGTCCCTTGTGAAGTGCACTTTTCTAAGTACGGTCTTTCATGTTGGCGCGCTCGACACACTATCATTAAACTTTTTCTCAGTTCATATATAAAGGCTGAACTTACACCTTCCGGAAAGTTAGAATTTGAGAAACTGGAATAGAGATCATCACAGCTTTCGGACTCTATCAACTTCAGTTAACCCTAGCTTCCTCAGGTGCTTCGATAGTCAGACGTCTCCAACTCCAGGATAACCGGAGAAATGTTAGGCGGTAACTCATCTGGCTCTTCCCCTCGAGTGCCGAGTCGTTGAGACTGAACTGAACAGGACATTTTCTTACTGAGTACCAGATCAGGAAGAGCCATCACCCATTTGACCAATTCAAGAAATGCTGGTTTCACTGAAGTGATGAGCACACTCCAGGCTAGGGCTTAAAGGGAGAAGACTGAGTTCTGATCTTTGCCCCACCATCTAGGTGTGTGGTCTTGGGAAGCCTCTATAAGCCTCACCTTTCTCGTCTATAATGCCAGGGTAACCAAGCAGGGCCTTGGTAACTAAAGCGAGTCCTATGCAGACACACAGTAGGCACTTCGATACATGATCACAGCTTCCTGGAGTGGGCCTCACTGCCTTCAGGACACCTCACCTGGTCATGTCATTTATTTTTCTTAACAAGTTTATAAAGGAGGCTCATTTTCCACCTTAGGCAGCTGAAGAACTTGAGATTCAAATTCCAGTTTAAACACAGGATATTTTCTCTCCCTGGTAATCCTCATCACAGGCATCCCTTCCAGCTCTGCTCTCACATTTTACCTGCCATGTTCATACTAGAGATACAGTTACTGAGGGGCCATCAGGTGGTGTGGCTGAATAGGCTGGGTCCAGCAGCAGACTGCACTGTTCAAGTCCTGGATCCGGCAACTTGAAGAGCACGCTGGGTGCATACGCGTGCGTGCCCCAAATCCCAAGAGGATAATGGTGAAGGGACTGAGATGTAGTCATCTCCCCTGGGGGCTGCTTTCTCACTTTCCCTCTTTCTCTCTCTTTCTCTGTCTCTGGTGAGTGCACGTGCTCTATAGCAAAAAGGTTTTACAAAGAAACACAGCTTTTGTCTGGATTCTGACCAATTAACCTCCCCAAGCCTGAGGTCTAAAGCGCCCCCACAGCACCTACAGCACATTTCATCACCTTGTAAAAACAAAACGGCCTGTGTGTGTGTGTGTTACAATGTTACATAAGCTAGCTAGGATTCGTGGAAAAAAAATCACACTCATTTAAAAGCTGGTATTGTCCATGGGCCATGATTGGCTGCAGCTATATCTGGGGCTGTTTCAAAGACCCTTGTGTTACGTGTCAGCTGCTCGGATGGAAGGTAACAAAGGTGCTCTTGATGGGTACTCTGGGTTTTCTAGGGACCGGTGAATTCACACATGAATGTGGCCTTGAAGGCAACCTGACTGCACTATGGAGTGTGGAAAAAACCCTATTTACCTAGCACACACTGACCTTTTTGTTCCTTTTTGTGAAAGCAAAGTGATTTTCCTGGGGTCTTCACAAAAATCCATTCTTAACTTTTCTAACGAGTCTCCTGGCAACCCCTGGATAGGGCAACCTGCCAGCCCCAGGAAGCCCCAAGCTTACCTAGGACTACCATGAGTGGCACAGGCCAAGGACAGATGGCCCTGAAACACAAAAGGTGTCCTGGAATGCTACCTCTGTGCTCTCTGAGGTGAAAACAGGTTTACCAAAGTCACAGCCGAGAATGCGGCTACCTTGGCTCCTTAGAACCACCTATAGGACACAACTTGACCATTTTAAGATGTTGATTATTCTTTTTCTGATATGATAGAGGGTATGTGTGCTCACAAGAGAGAAAGAGAGAGAGAGAAAGAGAGAGAGAGAAAGCCCCCTGGTGGGGGGGATGGCCATGCCATAATCCCATCTCCATTTCTTCTTTCAGAATTTTGGGAACTCACATGTATACATGCCTCACAATCTTTTTTCTTTTCTTTCCTTTTCTTTTTTAAAGAGTTTTCTTTTTTGCTATAGGGCATGTGCACTTGCCAGAGAGAGAGAGAGAGAGAGAGAGCAAGAAATCACCCCTGGCCACACCACAATTCCTTCTCCTCCATTCTCCTCTCGGGATCTTGGGCCTGCACGCACATGTACCCAGCCTGAGTTTTAAGTCACTGGGTCCGGGACTCAAATCATGGTTGACTATGTGGGTGTCTAGTGATGTAACCATTACGCCATCTGCTGGTCCCATACCTGGTAGCTTTTTCAAGTCATCAGACCCGGGACTCAAATCGTAGTCAACCATGTGGGACCAGCTGCATTCACCAATACACACCAGCTGGCCCTTTAAAAATAATTTTTTAAAAATAATTGTTTATAGGGCCAGCCAGTGGCCTGGTGATGAAAGCTGCTGGATCCCACCTGGCTGACTGGGAGGTTTGAGTCCTGGACCCGGCTGAGATCTCTGGATGGGGTAAACAATGCTTTTACCCATATTTGGGAGGAGTGTATCTATAGGACCCATTACCACATATGGAATTCTCAGGTCAAAGACTATATATAGCATTTTAGTCTGTGAGAGGTATTGCTGCCTATTCAACCCCAATCTTAGAATCATAGCTGGGAAGGACTTAGGGATTATCTATTCTAGTTTTTTTTTTTTGTTTGGTTGTTTTGTTTTGTTTTCTCCCACAAGTGTCCCTAAAACCCTGGAGTTCCATTGTAGCTGCCTTGACCAGGGGTTAATGGGGGAGGAGACGGACAAGAACGGGGGTGAGAGAAGAAAGAGAGCTGGGTCTCTGTGTACACAACTCTGCTTCCACTGACGAACTTCCTATGAGTAAGTCCCATGCTTGCTTTGGGGAAAAGCTCTGCAGCTTAGTGGCAGTAACAGACAAGCAAATGCACAGCACCAAGCTGATGTTCCAGCAGGGGAAACAGAGGCTCAGAGAGTAAGAGAGCAGGGCCAAGACTAGAGCACTTGTATGTTTGCTCTCACTCTAGCCTTGGTTCAATCAGTCATCATGCCACTGGATTGGTCTGGTCCCCCTTTGGATGTTTCCAACCCTCAGGAGCTCACTCCCTCTGGAGCAGCCTGTACCATTCAAGCTGTTCTGGGATCTGCCTCGTTTTATCCGAACTCTGACTCCTGGAAATGTTCCATCACCGCTGCTGCCCCAGTGCAGGGCTCGGAGGAACAGACTTTCTCCCCTCATGAGTTTGAGGAGGGTCATCATTGCTGATCTGTCAACCAACCCGGCTTCCGACACCCTTGACTGGATTAGGAATTCCTCTTTATAAGAGGTTTGGAGTCAGAAAGCTTGGGGTAGGGCCCAGGTATCTGCGTTGAAATCTCTAAGACCATATTCTTCAAAATATTTCTCAGAAGAACAATTAGTTTATTTCTTTCCTCTGATCCATTTCGAACTGATACTTTTTGAAATATAATAAAAACACACTACTAGAAATATAAAATTTTATAAAGATAGACAAAATATAAGGCCCTCCTTTAAAAATGAGATACAGGGGACTAGCAGATGGTATAGCAGTTACATCACTGAATTCCCACCTGGTTGACCATGATTTAAATCCTGGACCTGGTGACTTCAAACTTATGTGGGACACGTGTGTGCATGCGCATGTCTAAAATCCCAAAAGGGGAATGGAGAAGAAGAGATTGTGGTGTGGCCAGCCCTCCTGGGAGGTGATTTCTTGCTTTCTGTCTCTCTGTTGCTTCTGAGTGCATGTGCCCTACAGTAAAAGTCTCCCCCCACAAAAAAATAAATTAGTTTCAGGCCAGCAAATGGTGTGGTGGTTAAAGCTTTGGATCCTGCATGGCCAACTCTGCAGTTTGAATTCCGGACCCTGCAGCTTGAAAAGCACATCAGGCATGATTACTTACATGTCCAAAATTCTGAGGGGAGAATGGAGACGGAATCATGGCATGGTCATCCCCCGTTGAGGGAGGGATTTCTCACTTTCTCCCTCTCTCTATGTGCTAGTGCACGTACCCTATGCCAAAAATTTAAAACAAACAAAGAAAAAAATCATATTCAATAGACCTAACCTCATTCAGCCAAATTGTTCCAAAAATTTCCAAACTGTGACTCGTAACCTGTTTTTATCTCCTCGTGGCATGGTAACAGGTAGTTTGCAGACTAGCACTGGTCCTGGGACCACACTGCATCACCCCATTCTGTCCATAGTTGATCATGATGCAGGTAGGAATATACTGTTCCCAGCGATTACCCAGGAGTGACACAGCACAAAGAGCACTGAGCTGGGAATCAGGGACCTATTCTGGTTCCCACTCACTGCCTTACTATATGTAAGTCCTTTCCTCTCTCTGGGTTTCAGTGTTGCTCTTGGTAAGATAGTTGCTAACCTGCCCATCACACTTGGGCATGCAGAGCATCTGCTAAGGTCATGGGATTTTCCCTGGAGAACCAGGAGAATGCAGTCACCTCCCAATACCTAGCTGCACACTTGGGAGAAGTATAACTGAACAGATCGACATGAAGAGAATGGGAGATTTAATCTACTTAAAGAGGTGGGAGAGATGGAAGGGGTGGAAAGTTAGTCTGGAGCCAGGAGACATGATTGTGAAGGCAGGTCTGGAAGCAATGACACAGCAAAGAGAGTAGGTGGGTGGTAGGTGTGAGGAAACAAGGGGGCCATGCATGTGGCAGTGGGCCCCACGTGGGGAATGGCAGGTGGACTATGATTCTAATGGGCAGGAGCCTTCTTCCCACCTCCTCCTCTCTCTTCATGGTAGCTGCAATCTTCATCTCTATTTTCTTGAACTCACCTCCAGATCTTCCCATCCCTCTTTCTGGCCCCAGATCCAGCCCCTTGCCTGGCCACTGTGAACTGGTTCCAAGGAGGAGCACTCTGAATCCTGACAGCTAGCTGAGGACAGTGAGCACCAGAAGGCAGCCAGGGGGCGTCCTTGGAGGAGTTATGATCAGGCTTGGTGCTTCCTGAGGGAAAAAAACACGGGGCATATGAGAGTAAAGAAAAGGTCTGTTTCATGGACACACTCCTACTGAAGTTCTGGTTCTCATTGTGAAAGTATGAAAGCATACTTTTTCTATCTCTTTTTCTAGGAAATTAACTTCTACAAGGTCATTGACTACATCCTGCATGGCAAAGAAGACATCAAAGTAATTCCGTAAGTTTTATCTCAAAATATGCAGAATTGCAGGCCCGTTATCAACATCCATTAAGATATTTATTCCAAGACAACACTAAGCAAACCCAACCAGGCCGCACACCTGATCTGAGCAGTAAGGAGACAGTGTGGAAGGGCGGAGAGACTCATGCAGAGGGAGAAATGAGGCCCAGATAGAGGAAGAGCCATGACCAGAGCCTCCGAGTGTGAGTGTGAGTGTGAGTCTGGTGCCCTGAGTTCCAGTCCACATTCAGTGTCAATAAGTACCCTCTCTGGGCCTCAGTTTCCCATCTATAGTCAACTGTTTTCTGTGGAGCTCCTTCTGGGGCCTTTGAAGGGGGCAAAGCAAAAGCAGAAAGGCAAAGGAAGTGACTTAGCCCCTAAGCAAAGCTTAGCCTCTTTTGTCCTCGTCCGTATGTGACCAAGGATTTTCAAAAGACAAGACTGAAGCCGGATGGGGGTGCAGCAGTAAAGTGAATGCTCTGCCGTGGTTCCTAGTTCAAGTTCAGAGACCTCCCTGAGTGCCAGGCACTCACTTGCCCACGATCTGGGCTGGCGGGGGCTGGGCATGGGTCATGGCATCAAGACCTTGTTAGGGGTTCTGTATCTCTCATGAAAAAAAAGTAAACAAACAAAAAATGATCCTTAGGGGCCAGCAGGTGGCATGGTGATTGAGGATGCTGAACTCCGTATCTCTCTCTCATGAAAATAAAAGTAAACAAACAAAAAATGATCCTTAGGGGCCAGCAGGTGGCATGGTGATTGAGGATGCTGAAATCCCAAATGGCTGACCGCGGTTTGAGCCCTGGACCTGGTGGCTTGCTTTCTCTCTCTCTCTCTTTCTCTCATTCTGTCCTTCTCTCGTCAAAGAAATAAATAAAGAGAAAGAAGAAAGAAAGAGAGAGAGAGAGAGAGAGAAGGAAAGAAAGAAAGTGAAATAAAATAGTTCTTAGAAATAAATGATCCTTACATTGAACCATTGTTGTAGGATGGCTTCTGTGATGATATCCAGGTTCTTGGTGTTTTGGACAAAGAATGGAATGAAACATGACAATGGGGACAGGAAAGGTAGTTCATTAAGTAAAAGTGAAAGTGCACTCCTGAGAGGTAGGAGCAGGCCTGAGCGTACAGAGTGGCTCAGAATGCCCTGGCAGGTGTATTCTGCCGGCTTTATCATTTTTAACCTAATTTGTGAGGGTCAATCACTGACCGGACCTACTGATGGTTTTCATCTTATTGGCTCTATCAAATGTGGCTAGTTTCACATGTGGCTGGCCCCACTGATTTATGTCATTGGCTATATTAAATGTGGCTTAATCAGCTCGACATCCCCACTAATGTCTTGCCTACGTTACCTTGGGTGGGGAATTTTCTGCCTGATGGGGTTTTTCTATCTAGTCACATGTGCAGGTGCTCCAGCCCCTTACCCGCTTCCATTTGCTAGCTTTCTCCTGCCTCACAGTCTTGTTCCCTCCCCCCCTTTTTTTTAAAGTTCATTTATTTATTTCTTCTGTGAGAAGGAGAGAGAGAAATACAGTACACCCAGCCTGGTCCTCACGTTGCTATCCATCTCAGTCCCAGCAACCCGAATCACACGCACACCTGGTGTGCTCAGGGAGGTCCCAGGACATGGACGCACGGCCCTTCCCATGTAAGTCTAGTTACATCACAGCTGCGCCACTGCTCGCCCCTTTAAAGACTAATTAGCTTTATTTGGGAATCAAGTCAGGCAACACTTCATCCTAAAGGTATTCCAGTGAGTTGAGTGGAAGAGTTTGCTGTGTAGACAGATGAGGGCTGAAGAAAGCAGAATCAAAAGAACAAAATTAGATTGGTCATTTCAAAGTTACTTTCCTCGTAAGCTGAAAACAGGACAATACAAGAGGATTTTTTTTTTTTTGAGAGGTTTTCGCTATAGGGCGTATGCGCTCGCCAGACAGACAGAGACATAGAGACAGAAAGCGAGAAATCACACCCCAGGGGAGGTCATGCCGCAATCCCTTCTCCTCCATTCTCCTCTCGGGATCTTGGGCACACACGCACATGCGCCCCGGCGTGAGTTTTAAGCCACCAGGTCCGGGATGCGAACCACGGTCGACTACGTGGGAGTCCAGCAACATAGCCATTACGCTAACTGCTGGTTCCCAAGAGGATTTTTTTTTAATTCATGGAAAAATGGAATTAAAGCACAAGTTTATTTTGGTGCAAAACAATTTTGAAATCCATGCAGGTTTAAATTTTTTTTTTTTTTTTTTTTTTTTGGTTAGAATTTTTTTTAAAGTCGGTCAATGGGGACAGGAAAGGTAGTTCATTAAGTAAAAGTGAAAGTGCACTCCTGAGAGGTAGGAGCAGGCCTGAGCGTACAGAGTGGCTCAGAATGCCCTGGCAGGTGTATTCTGCCGGCTTTATCATTTTTAACCTAATTTGTGAGGGTCAATCACTGACCGGACCTACTGATGGTTTTCATCTTATTGGCTCTATCAAATGTGGCTAGTTTCACATGTGGCTGGCCCCACTGATTTATGTCATTGGCTATATTAAATGTGGCTTAATCAGCTCGACATCCCCACTAATGTCTTGCCTACGTTACCTTGGGTGGGGAATTTTCTGCCTGATGGGGTTTTTCTATCTAGTCACATGTGCAGGTGCTCCAGCCCCTTACCCGCTTCCATTTGCTAGCTTTCTCCTGCCTCACAGTCTTGTTCCCTCCCCCCCTTTTTTTTAAAGTTCATTTATTTATTTCTTCTGTGAGAAGGAGAGAGAGAAATACAGTATACCCAGCCTGGTCCTCACGTTGCTATCCATCTCAGTCCCAGCAACCCGAATCACACGCACACCTGGTGTGCTCAGGGAGGTCCCAGGACATGGACGCACAGCCCTTCCCATGTAAGTCTAGTTACATCACAGCTGCGCCACTGCTCGCCCCTTTAAAGACTAATTAGCTTTATTTGGGAATCAAGTCAGGCAACACTTCATCCTAAAGGTATTCCAGTGAGTTGAGTGGAAGAGTTTGCTGTGTAGACAGATGAGGGCTGAAGAAAGCAGAATCAAAAGAACAAAATTAGATTGGTCATTTCAAAGTTACTTTCCTCGTAAGCTGAAAACAGGACAATACAAGAGGATTTTTTTTTTTTTGAGAGGTTTTCGCTATAGGGCGTATGCGCTCGCCAGACAGACAGAGACATAGAGACAGAAAGCGAGAAATCACCTGCCAGGGGGGATGGTCATGCCGCAATCCCTTCTCCTCCATTCTCCTCTCGGGATCTTGGGCACGCACGCACACGCGCCCCGGCGTGAGTTTTAAGCCACCAGGTCCGGGATGCGAACCACGGTCGACTACGTGGGAGTCCAGCAACATAGCCATTACGCTAACTGCTGGTTCCCAAGAGGATTTTTTTTTAATTCATGGAAAAATGGAATTAAAGCACAAGTTTATTTTGGTGCAAAACAATTTTGAAATCCATGCAGGTTTAAATTTTTTTTTTTTTTTTTTTTTTTTGGTTAGAATTTTTTTTAAAGTCGGTTTTTTTTAGAGAGAGTTTTGCTGTAGGCTGTGTGTGCTTGTTGGAAAGACAGAGAGACAGAAAGCAAGAAATCATCCCAGTATTGGGGAGGGATGGCCACGCCACAATCCCTTCTCCTCCATTCTTCTCTCAGGATCTTGGGCATGTACACACACACACACCTGGCATGAGTTTAAGCTACCAAGTCTGACTCGAACCATGGTCGACTATGTGGGAGTCCAGTAACATAACCATGATGCCACCAGCTGGTCCCATACATGCAGTTCTTTGGTAACATTCATTTTCCATGAACTTTTGGAAGACACCTCCTCCCCATAGGTTGCTTCTTTTGTGCGAGGATTAAAAAAGAGAACTTCATTTTCATGCTGACCGAAACTGTTCTGTTTGGGAACTGAGGCTGTTATCTCTCTCCCTGATTTCTCAGAAGGTCTGGTAACAGGTTTGGGTTGGTGACAGAGACAAGAGTGACTCCATATTGATTTTCCATTTTATCTATCAGTACCTAGTGCAGGCACTTAGTCCAAAATACTGGCTTCCTGTGATTTTTATCTAACAAGGAAAATAAAAAAGAAATAATGCTCTCATCTTCCTGCAGGTAGCTGGACTCAAAAGATTATTTTCAGACTTGAGCAGTCCCAAAATTTTTCAGTATAGTCTTGTACTTTTTTGATAAGCAGAACATTCTCAAAAGCTTAGTTGCCTTTTAATCTCTTTGAATCGTCTCCAAGTACCAAGAACCACACCCTCTGTTCTCTCTTGAAACATGGTTCTTTCTCAACCTAATTGTGGACTTCATGAGGCTGCTGTCAAGCTCTGTGAGACAACCACACCTTGTCTGTTTTCTCAGAGTTATTTTGTCCTCCTCATCAAATGCCGGTATACCAACTCAGTTCTCAAGCAGAGGGTGTGATGGACCCTCCTGAACTAACCCTGATCACCAGACTAAATTATAATAATCATCTATCACTCAGAGAAGCAAGTTGTCAGACTTTTCTTTTACTGGTTGAGGATGAGAAATTGCCTCAAGTTCCTCAATTTCTAAGTATTCTCTATTCCCTGTCATTCTTGTGTTCAAAGGATGATTCTCTGGTTCTTTTTTTTTTTGGTGAGGTTTTTTTTTTTTTTTTTTTTTTTTTTTTTTTTTGCTATAGGGCGCGTGCGCTCGCCAGACAGACAGAGAGAGACATAGAGACAGAAAGCACCCCCCAGGGGGGATGGCCACACCGCAATCCCTTCTCCTCCATTCTCCTCTTGGGATCTTGGGCACGCACGCACACGCGCCTGGCGTGAGTTTTAAGCCACTGGGTCCGGGACTCGAACTGAGGTCGACTACATGAGAATCCAGCGACATAGCCATTACACTAACTGCTGGTCCCGGAATGGTCTTTTTTTAAAAATAATTATTTTATTTAAATGTATTTATTTGCTTATTTTAATTTGACCAGAGAGGGGCAAAGTTAGAGAGAGAGAGGAGAGAGAGCGAGCTACCAGGTCCATGGCTCAAACCATGGTTAGCCACATGGGAGTCAGTGCCCTTAACCACTGTGCCACCTGCCAGCCCCAGAATGGTCTTTTAAATCAAGTATGCTGGTATAGAATGCTTACCCATATGGGAGAAAAAAGAAACATTATCCGTTCCTCAAAAATAAATGACACGAAGGCCAGCCAAGGTGGAGCTGTGGTAACACAATGCTCGATGATGCTGAAACCACATGGGAAGGTCTTTGTGTCCTGGCATCTCCCTGTACATGCTGTGGGTGTACATTCCCATAATCCTGGCTGGCTGAGGTTGGGGCTGGATTGTGGTCGTGAATACCCTGTCTGAGATGACTCTCTCTCTCAAGAAGTAAATAAACAAACTTAAAAAAAGAAATGGCACAAATTCTAGGTGGATTAGGGGTTTAAATAAACAAAATGATTGGGCTAGCCCCATGGCTTGGTGGTTAAGGGAGCCAGATCCCACATGGCCAACTGTGGTTCAAACTCCAGGCCCAGCAGCATGAGAAACATGCGGTGTGTGCATGCCTCAAATTCCAATAGGATGCAGAAATGGAGAAGGGATTGCAGTATGATCATGTCCCACTGGGGGTGCTTTCACCCTTACCCTCTCTCTCTGTCTCTCTCTGTCAAGTACATACACCCTCTGGTGTATTATTAAAAAGAAGAAGAAGAAGAAGAAACACAAATACTGGCTGGTTTGCCCACACTAAGAACAAGAAGTTTTACTAATATTAAATATACTGTTTGAGAGTATAAAACGTTATACATTTTGATGTAGCATATTTCCCTAAAAGTTAATGGCTTGAGATCAGCAGGTGACGTGGTGGTTCAAGCACTGCTCGACTCCTACGTGGTCAACTGCAGTTTGAGTCTCAGACCTGGCGGCTTGAAAATCACACTAGGCACGTGTGTGTGTGTCAGATCTCAGAGGGATAATGGAGAAGATGGGATTGTGGTGTGGCCAATACTCCCTTGGGGGGTGATTTGTCACTTTCCCTCTTACTGTCTCTCTTTCTCTGTTTCTCTCTCTGTCTCACTCTAGTAAACTCACATGCCCTATGACAAAAACCTAAAAAATAAAGCTAATGGCTTAGCAAATGATTAAAAAAAAAATGGTTATCTCCACTATTTATTATGCCGTGGGTTAGGAATTCAGGTGTAGCTTCACTGGAACTGGAGGATCTGCTTCTTGAGTAGCTTACTCACCTGGCTGGTCGGTTGGCACTGGCTGTTGGCAAGAGACTCAGTTCCTCTTTGTGCTGGCCTCTACAAAGGGCTGCTGGAGTTACTTCACCATGCAGTGGCTGACTTCCCCACAAGCAAGTGTGTCCACTTTCGGCACAGCATTAAGCTGCTCCCCAGCTGAGGAACACGATGCTATCTTGTTCTGCTCAGCATTCAACACTGATCTGTGGAATGAATGTTGTCTGTTTTCTTGGCCTAACTAGTGGGCAATTACTAAACTTTATATTCACCAATCACGCTTTCTCCAAGTTCAAATTTGAATATTAAGATGGTTGGCCAATATTTGGGGATTGGTCAGGCATAGTAAATACAAGTGGGTGCTGGGAGCCAGTGGGATAGTGTGGGGAGCAAAGACCCAGATTCAAGGTTTTTTTTTTTTTTTTATGTTTATATATCTGTTTTTTCCTTGAGCAAAAGGATAGAGAGA